CTGACTAAATCCTGTAAACCGGACTGCTATTGGAACAGACTAATAATTTGTATAACATAAACTGGGAAGTTTGACAACCCATGGTACATGTGCAAAGAGATATAAAACCTAGTTTTCATAACGTCTGCTGGTAATAGATCACAATAAAAATGCACACCAAATTGCTTAGATTTATGAGGGAAACCGACTTAGACATACCCGAGTAACTGACCTGGTTGCAAAAGACAATTCCAGCATAAATTAATTAATCACCAAACCTACTTGATCAAATTAAGGGTTAATGATTAAAAATTAATTTTTATACTCGCGGTTACGATTAACTATTTAATCAGATTAAATTAAATCATGATTAACTGTNAAAAATGCACACCAAATTGCTTAGATTTATGAGGGAAACCGACTTAGACATACCCGAGTAACTGACCTGGTTGCAAAAGACAATTCCAGCATAAATTAATTAATCACCAAACCTACTTGATCAAATTAAGGGTTAATGATTAAAAATTAATTTTTTTAATCACGGTTACGATTAACTATTTAATCGGATCAAATTAAATCATGATTAACTGTAATTCGATTGAATTTAATCAAATTAACTAATTGATTAAAAAACCAATCGATTAGTGCCAACACTGCTTCTAATTGTATACTTTGCGCAATTTTTGTAGTACCATTCTACTACCGTTTTCGAAAAAGACGATCACATTCTTACCCTTTCTCCTACTTCCAAAATACAAATCTAGATAAAGGAGTGTCAAATTTTAGCTGTCACAAATTACACAACCTTGTTTTATTGAATCATGATTTCGATAATCGAAATAAAAAGCAAAAAATAAAAATAAAATAAAATATTGATTGCAGTGCTTAAAATTGGTATTTGTAATACGAATATTGTAAATTTCTCATCGCGACTGAATTTTAAAATTTTCCAAATATGTTGGTCCTGTTATATTTATGATGATGACATTTAAATATGCATAACTTACCGTTCACTTTGAGGAAGATGACTTTGCTTACACCTGAACCGATGTTGTTTTTTGACTCGCAAAGAAAATGGCCCTGCGACTCCTTGCTGATTTTCTTAAAGAATATTGTACCATTTGGAAAGAGCTGCACGGTCGGCTCATACAAAAAGTCTTTGTATTCCCCTGGAGTAGGTCCAATAGCTTTTTTCCATGTAATTGCAGGCTTCGGATATCCAGAAGACTGGCAATGCAGCCAAACATCTTGACCGGCTTGGGCACTAGAATCTTTTGGTTCTAGTACCCATTTGGGAGGAACATTTACTGTCAATGGTACTGTGAAACGCTCCATCCCGGCGACGTTACTCGCAATACAAGAATAGTTGCCTGAATGTTCGGAAGTGATGTGTTCAATGACCAAGCTTGCAGAATATTCATCCAATCGTCGAAAGACCTCGTTGCTGGAAAATATAAGAGCATATTTTTAGTTTCTAAAGACTAGGTTATATTGTGAGTGAAACAAGTACATGATATTCTCTATGTTTCATTACAGGCCCGACGAAGCTCGAGACTGCCCTTTCTTTTCAGCTGTCCTTAGGCATTGCAAAGTAATTTTGAGTTCTTACTTACTAGCCTAATGTCGTCCGGACTTTTTTCCGAGCGATTTTCTGTAGACTGTCAAAGTGTCAGAAAAGAGAATNGTTTTTTTTCCGAGCGATTTTCTGTAGACTGTCAAAGTGTCAGAAAAGAGAATGCCAAAATTGGGCTTCCAATGGAAATAAGATCATGCAAATAAATACTGCCTCAGGAATTTTTAATTTAAATAGACATACATTTTCATTACTTGAAATTTAGTTGCGTATTTTCCTCTCCTTTGTTAGAGCACTTCGTACTTAACCCATTTGCGCTCTCTCGTCTAAAAGTTTACTATTATTATTAAAACGAAATTGCTTTAATAAGTTTGCATTAATTTCACTTCAGATAGAATAGAAGATAAATACATAGGTATAACTTTGGACACTTACAAATCGACTTTTCACATTAGAAGTGGTCCACAAGAAAAGCTGTGATTTTTTTTTGAATTATTGCACTTTTCCCTAAAATATCTGCTATTATAAAGTGAAAAAAGAGTAAATTAATCAAATTATTAACAGTGAGTATACGGGTTTGTTATTTGATGGATTTATACAGCTATTTCTTTAGCTGTCGTTTTTTTAGTACAACGGGCACATCTATACTAATACATATATAACATTTTTTTGAAAGCCGGTTTTTTCTGTTCGAAAGCTTGAGCACAGCCGTAACGACTTTTCGAAGTTTTGGGCACCAATTTACGACATTCCGAGCATGGTTGTAGACTAAAAATAATATGAATATGTCATGGGGGCGTGGCACCTCCCATACAAACTGAATTTTTCAGACTGCATATGAAGAGGAGTTTGCAGTAGAATACTAGAACTTGGTATGGAGAAAGTATATGAAATCAATCCTATCCTGAGTAGAAAAGTGGCAGTTATTGGAAAAGGGGGCGTTGTCCTCCTTTACATACATACATACATATTACATATTTCTGCTGGGATTTATAGATCATACAAGTGGAACTATCGTACAGAATATCTCTAGAGGTATATGAGGAAAGATACGGAAATTATTTGTGGAGATTTATGTTAGCCATACTTTACTGTAAGAGAAAAAAGTGAGTTAGTGGAAAGGAGAAGCTTTCTCGTAGTTGAGAATAGTCTGGCAAATTTTTTTTTAGTTTCACTTTTATTTCAACATATTTTGTTTAAAAGAAAAATACTGATAAAAATAAAATTTTTCATAAAAACAGGGTTGAAATCTTGAAATTCCTCCCCGTAGCTTGTTTGTAAGTCAATAAGAGTGGCTCTGTGCTACTATGATAGCACGGCCGAGTAATCATAGCCAACTTATGTACAGTAGTCGAAAAAATTATAGCCGCACCAAATTTTGACTAGTTTTAAAATATTATTTTTGTTGTTATTTAATTTCGGTTAGTTTTTTATAGTTCGTTCTTTACTAACATTCGTATAAGTACAAGTTTAAAGGCAGTGTCACACGATTGGGTTTTTGCTAAAATTTGGTGTAAATCGTATTCCAATTGTTTGAACACCCAAAATATTTTGCACCATCCCAATCACGAAAGTTGATTTATTGAAATTTTTCAATAGAACATCGAGGATTGGTACAATACAAATCTTTTGAATGCAAAAAAAAAATAGTCCCGCTTTTTTTTACCAATAGCCCAATATAAAAATTTACAAATCTGTACAAATGTACCAATCGAGTGACACTGCCTTAAAAATTTATGCAATTAAAAAAAAAAAATTTACAAATTTTCGTTAAAATTTTTAATTAAATTCTGAGTATGCAGTTTTGTAGCCAATAGAATTCTAGTAGAATAAAGTACACGTTTCAAATGGCTAAAAATGTCGATTGATTTTTTAGAATTTTTAAAAGTTCGAAATTTGTACGAAATTTTGTTGATTTTTTTTTAATATTGCACAAATGAGTAGTCCACTTGCAAACAGCGTTATGTTATTTTATATTAGTGAGCCATAATTTAAAAAAGCGTCTACAACAACAAGTAACATCCAAATTGTATATTTCTCTTTATTATCTGAAAATTTGGATAAACAAGAGCCTAAGAACATTAAAAAACAATATGGCAATGTGGTAGTTTTTGCAAATCTATATTAATAAAAATGTTGTGTTCGTATGTCACGGTCGTCAAAACTCGAGAACGGCTGAACCGATTTGAATAATTTTTTTTTGTATTGTTTGGTATAATACCAGAACCAATGATATCGCAAAAAATTGGAGGGTTGCCACCTGTTTGAAAATTTTTAAACCCAATTACATTGATAGAATAAATAAATTGTTACAATATGGGTAACAAATTAAAGAGTTTTTAGAAAGATAACAGCTGGAAATATTTTTGACGAG